CACATGTGAAGTAGACAGGCAGCGTGTAAACCCTGTCCAACCGTCACAGTTGTCCAGAATTGTACGTAACTTCAGGGCGTGCGCTCAGCTCAGTAGGCCGCATGCCTAATCACAACAGCTGGCTTACATATCTGTCTAATTTTATATACAAAATAAAAAGTCAGCTCGTTCCGCTCCTGATCTTCAATGCTGGGCCCGGCGCTCCAATATTCTTGATCCGACTCATTCAGCGTCACAAAAGAGACTTGCCAAATAGCTTTCTGGCAATATTTGCGACACAAATCAAAAGATTCGTCGAGCTATACGGGACGAAAACTTGTCAGCATATCAGCAAAATCGGTCCTTCTGAACAATCATTAACCGATTTACCAGTGAAGTAACCCCGGATGGTCATCCTTGTGCCCGGGGGCCGTCTGCTGGCAAATTGGTCACTGCGCACGTGGACTAATTCTCCCGCAAAGGTCCAGTCCCGGGTGGTCGGTCGTCCAGTGCCTGAGCCCGGGGCAGGCTTTGCGTGTCGTAGCCAATCAATCTGACAGGTAGGCAGAGGAGGGGATTTGTTAGTGTGACGTGTCATGATCGACGGTTCCGATTGTGTCACGTGAATTGAGTTGCGTCGCTATACCTATGCAACGCGCGCGCAAATTATCGACCGACTTTGAATTTGTGCCGCACGTGTGGACTCCGCTTGAGTGAACCCGACCTCCACTATTTGACCGACCGGGGACTTGGAGTACGATCGCACGGTCAAACGACCAAATTTCCTGGACATCCGACGGTGCACATTTGCGGAGACACTTTTGTCGTGTAGCTACTGGCCTCTCTACTTATTATATTGAGGCTTCAGTCTGATCACGAGAATGCAAACTCCGGGACTCTGGAGTGGCATTGCACCCAATAATTGCACCCCTTCTTTCGCAACTGGAAGTATGCGCGCGCATCCTGGCCGAACTTCCCATATACACGCAGACTCGAGTCAAAACCCTAATGCGCAGCTATCAGTAGGGCCGTGGATGAAGACGTCTTCAATGTTCATGATCAAATATCTCATGAGAGAAGCTTCGCTCCATCTTTATGAGATCCGTCTTTTGCAGGTGAGAGGATACCGTGAATCAAAATTGGTACTTTGTAAGTAAAAGCTAGTCGGCAAATATTAGCTCCTGCAATTAGACATGGCCGTTCAAAACATGCGTTTCTGGGCCCGGCGGGCCTTTTGGGGAGAGTCTTAAGGAGCTAGCTGCACCAAAAATGCGTTCGGCGTGTTTTTACAAGCTTTTAATATTGTTTTTTTCATGCATGGGACCCCGGGGGAATCTTAATTCATAAGTTGGTCGAGTGAAGAAGGGATCATTTGTGAGGCACTACAAAATCGAAAACATGTCTGCGATTTTTGCCATTGAACATTGAAGCATGCTTTTTAACAAAACGTTATGCACAATTTTGACAATTAAAGTGGCCTTGCAGCGTCATTTGTATGTTTGAGTGTCCACTGAGTTGCATACGGGATATAGACGTTGACCGTGTCCAGTTGCAACAAGATCATGTTTGCCATATGCAAATGCCAGCACATGAAGATGTTGATGTACATGACCAATTGCAGCCACAAATTGAAACTTAAATAACCTCTACTAGACAGAGATGGCGGCTGGTGGGTTTCACACTGCCGTTGCTACGGGTGAAGTAGACATAATGGTGTCTAAGCAGAAACCCCTGGCTTCGAGTCCTTCGCTTTGATAAAGAAGGGCCCATCAACTACGGTGACATGGTTATCGGCACTACGTACCAGCACAAACAACGCTTTTACTCTTCGAAAAACTGATGATCTGCATCTATAAGACTCAACAAAACAGCTCTTTAAAATGTGACGGCTCCCGCATGCTCAAATATGCATGTAGTGAACTTCTTCTAAAACCGTACTCGCGAGCTTCCCATCCCATCGCTTACGGGCCCCCTTTAATGTTCTCTCCCATTCTTAATTCCACCATTGACCAACATCATAAGCACCTATACAGATGACTCCATAAGCAGACGTCTAGTGATCTTCAAACACCTCGTAGCGCCGCGGCCGCTGCACTCGGCCGTCCTTCTTCTTGAAGTCCACCTTCTTTGCCTTGTTTTTTTGACGCTGAATCATCTCCATAAGGGCTCCCTGGAAGCCAATATGCTCAGCCCGAGGGGCCAGCCTATTGCCAGGATTCGGGATCACGGCCCGAGGAATCAGCGCGCCCTTGCCCGCGCCCAGAAGCTGGTACCGGCCGTCGGGTTGCATCTCCCAGGCGCCAACACGGTCGCACAGGCAGGCCTCGATGATATCCTGCAACACATGTGAAGCGCCAACGGTTCAGGGCGTGTGAAACTTTATGGCCAGAGCAAAGAACGATATTTGTGATGTTTTGAAAGGGGTGAAAGTCAGACTCAGTCTGCACAAGATCTCCGGCGCAAGAAGTGTCACGATGCACAATGAAGTCGGGCGGGAGGCTACAGCAAGCTTGAATTGACGGACCAGACAAGGCAGGGGTTTCCGGGGGATTCAGAGTTTTAAGATTCCAAGGATTGAAGGATTGTTGGGTCCCATGATTACATCATCGAATCAGTGGATCCTACAAGAAAGACATTTACATGCTTTCAACCCTGCTGAAGTGCGCCCCCCTCGCATTTTAAGAAAGCTTCTGTTAACCAGGGCCTGCATTGGCAAACTACTATTAACGGCATGTTGATGAGCGCCACGTGTCCTCACCTGGAGCTCCTTCTTGATGCTCTCGTCGAGGACAGGTGTCACGACCTCCACACGCCGCATCAGGTTGCGCGTCATCCAATCAGCGGAGCCGATGTAGTACTCGGGCTTGCCACCTGCGGAGCAACACAAAGGTTCAGACTTCGGTCTCCATCTTCCAGTGCTCCTTTATCCGGTATACTCGGACCCCAGGACCAGAGTCCTACAGTCAATGCCGGCCCTCTAAGAAACAAAAATGAAGTGTATGGACCGAAAGAGGATGACAAAGCGTTTAAAGCACCAGGCATCCTAGGTCATCGAGACCGGAAAAAACCAGAGTGAATCGCTTGAGACACCAAAATTGCTGCGCGATGCAGCGCCAGAATCATAACACCGGAAGGGATATCGGACACAAATTTCCGGTACCTACCGTTTTCAAAGCGGAAGATCCGGTGGTGCTCCAGGAACCGTCCGATGATGCTGATCACGCGGATGTTGTCGGAGATGCCCTTGAAGCCCGCGCGCACGCCGCAGATGCCGCGCACGATGCAGTCCACGTGGACCCCCGCGTTGGAGGCCTCGTAGATCTTGGCAATCATCACCTGGTCGTCCAGCCCGTTGCACTTGACCACCATGCCGGACGGCAGGCCCGCGCGGGCGTTCTCGATCTCTCTGTAGCAAGATGGGGTTAGCAGTAGGTTAGGAACAAGGTTAGAAAGGTTAGGTAGGTTAGAAACAGGTTTGCTAATAAGTTCAGAAAAGCCCGTTGCACTTGACTATTATGCCGGACGGCAAGCCCGCGCGCGCATTCTCGATCTCTCTGTTAAGGAGAGAAAGGCATGTCCAAAGAAGTCCAAGATGGAGTCTAGAATTAGGAACGGGAAATCAATCAGGAATTGAGGAGAACG